CCCCAAAACCCCAAAACCCCAAAACCCCAAAACCCCACATCAGCATTGCTTTATTGAAAATAATTTTACTAGTTATACAAATGGATAGACAGAGGAACTCAAGAGTCCTAGAGGAGCGCAAAACTCCTTCATTGATGAGATATGGGACTTCTCCACAGAAGCAGTGCATCTTCAGGAGCCCCTCTCGGAGCTCTCAACGAGGAAGTCTTCAGAAAAAAGGACATAAATTTAAGAAAAATGTTAGAAAATACGCTAAAATTTCGAAAAAAGGACAGAATAGCTCAGGAGTGCAAGCTCATCCAGTGAGGTTTGGGTTCAGTGACCAGAAAATTCATCGTTTCTGTTCAAATAAGAAAATTCCAGAGAAGGTGTTGGGGCTGGCTTCCTTGAACCCAGAAGATAGCAAGCAAAATACGTCAACAGCCAATTACATGAATTTCACTGCCAAATCTGGAAGAGGTGACCCCGATATATGGGATATTCACGAAGAAGATCTCTCTGAAATTACTATCCAGGAAGAGCCCCTCCTCAAGATTAACGATATTAGGTCCTTCGAAAGTCGGTTTAATTTCTCGGAAAAATAAAGGGCATAAGCTTCATCCGGATGACTTCAACCTGCTTAAAGGATACAACGGCTCTGTGGGATACAAGAGCCTCAGAGAGGTATCTCCATCAAAGAGGCATATTTGCCAAGTAGCTAGTAAAGATTTTTGAAACAGAAGGAATAAATCACCTGTAAGTTTAAATACCTTGCTCGATAAAACACAATTTTTCGAATATTTTCGAAGTTTCCTGAATCTTTTCAAATGAAAGGGCATAAGCAAGTTCAAGGTCAGCCTAAAGAGTGTCTTGATAGCTGCCTGGTCAGTATGGTTGGTAAAACTTCTACCATATTTCTAGGTTAAGACCATCCAAATTAGTGAGACTTCTTGAATTTCTGATAATGTGTCCAGTAAATATTCACCTCATTTTGGTGCAAATTGATTCCAAATTTGATTGTTTTCAAAAATCATTGGTTATGACGTATTTTTTAGAGTCCTTCAGAGCAATCTCCGGTAAAATATGGAGTCGGAAACATCAAAGGCAACATGAGCTGTGGCCTATCGACCAAAAAGAGCAGCACAATGAAGTTGAGACACCTCCTCAGTAATGATGACATGATACTCTCTAAGTACAATAATGTAAGAAAGATAGAAGAGCATGAGGAGATCAAGGAAGAGCAAGAATTATCAGATTCCAAGAAGCGCTCAGATGAGTCCAAACAGAAGGATTCTATGAATTCTTCTGGATTACAAAAGAACCCATTTCTCAAGAGTAATACGAGTTCACCTTCTTATCTTGATAATGAGACTCCTGACTTTCTTCGAACCTTTTGTATAAATAATAAGAAAGACATGAGTCAGCCAAGAAAGAAAGCCTGCATCTTTAATTTCAAAACTTTGCCTGACAAGCGAAGGAGGATGCAGTCAGCTCATATTTTCTCTATAAAACCCTAAGCATATTAAATGTTTGAAACCATATATTTCCTCTTTAAAATAGTAAGTCCTCGTAAGTGGAGCTAAGTCTGCACAATGCAAGGTATAGCTTAACTTTGTTGGCTAAAATCCGCCTCAAAGCACCTAGCCTTGCCTGATTTCTGTCAATTTCTAGATTAAAAATGCCAAAAATCTCAAAATTGTTACTAAAATTAGGGTGTTTTCAGCAGAACAAATTCTGAAAAACTAGTGTTTGCCTAGATTTGGCCTAATTTTCAATATTTTATCCAATCCAGGGGTTTTGGGGTTTTGGGGTTTTGGGG